CTTTTACGGTACGTTCGCGAGTCGGCATATCAAACATCTAGTGGGCTTCCACCCCTTCAAGGCAGTGACTCACTTTGCTTCCAGAGACAAAAAGAATACAAAAGCAAGGTACTCTCTGTAGCTAAGAGGATAGAAGATTGAAATTGTTGGAAGAATTTCGTGTGAGTGACACGTACGTGCATCACATTTTATTTCAATACGTTGACTGCGTCGTTTCAATTCGTCGAACATTGTTATTCTTTCCTAACCGTGGCATAGTGACAGAGGTCACGGAATATTGTTATGATAATACCGTGTACCTGTTGCATTTTGCGCAGCAGCCGTCTCCCATTCCGGGTCCTTCTCGCCACCAGTTCCGGAACCTGTGATATCACCGCAATCAGTAGTTCAAAATTCTCGAAAACAGACCCGGGTCATTGAAGATCAGTACAGTATTTCAGTTATGTTTTTTACGAATCATCCTTGCATTACACAAATGCCGCTTTAGTAATTAGAGTATGTCACGTGCATGGTTTCGATTATTTGGAACATCTCTAGTTTTATTTCCGAAGTCTTTTGGAAGTTTATTTTTCTTGCCTTTTCTTATGATTTTTTCTCTAGAAATCGTTTTAAAATATTTAAAAATACCTGCGAATGCAAGACTTACTGTGATACCATCCCGTTTCTTCGGGATCAGAGGAATCGCTTGATTATTCTCATTTATCTTTGTTAAAAGAACAATTTCCTCTCGAGTTTCCTGGAGAAATCAGGATTTTTAACCCTCGTTCCTTCTAACTGGGAATTGTAGGAAGGCGTTTTAAATGAAAGTTCAGACTTTTGTTATTCGGTGGTAGCAATCGTACCTCTTCGTGATTATAAAACCCTCTCTGATTTTTCTTCATGCCGAATAAATGCGCGTGGCGTACGACATTCACTGTTTTTCAGGTGATGTCGGTAAGGACGCAATTTTTTCTGATCAAGAAAAACGGGTTTCCGAAGCTAATTACTGTTCAAGATTCCTCTTTTCTAAACTGAAATCTGATGACCGTTTCTTTTCTTTTTTTATTTGTGCCGCCATTCATGTCCGACCCGGGCATGATCTCCCGCGCAATAACACCGGCGCTTTAAGAATTATGTCACCATCGTCCTAGCGGAAGCGTTAAAGCCCCGCTTAGGCGCACAAGGGACCGGTAGTTTCTGACTCGCTAAGTTTCGTAGGCTTTTTTACAAGAAATGTGCAAAGCACTGTAGCGCTCCACGCACTCCGCCCCGTGGCATGCGCTGTGCGTTAATGAATTCGCCTGCGTACACTGTGCGGTCGCGGTGGCACGTGGATCGCTCACCGTGCCTAGCAGTCGCGTTGGGCCGTCTTGGCCCGCAACCACATCCTCCTTACTGTCTGTGTGCCTAGTGGAATGCAAAGTTTTTGACCTTAATGACCTAAGGAGCAAAAGTTATCAAAAATCTTGAGAGATTCCAGGGAAACAGTGAGCATGCCTCTGATTGACCGGCTGCATTTTACAGATGATCAGATACTAGTAGACACATGTGTTCAACATGTAAGAAGTCTGAGAATTATTTGACGCACAGTACAGTTACGAACAATGCCATGAATAATAAAGTGCGTTTGTTCGGATTACTAGTACTGTATAGTCAATCCTGACTGTCGTGAGTCCTGAATGATATGAAAAAGTTCGGGTGGAAAATCAATTGGGCGCAGGCCGCATTTCTCAAGAAAAATTCGTGCGCGATTAATCGAATGTCTGATTTTTTAAAGACCAGATGACTTCGACTCATACAACAATGCCGTTGTCGTTGGATTTTTAAAATATCGTGTCGATTATCTAGTGTTTGGTTAAACAGGCGCATGGATATGAATTTTGCTTTCTCTCGTGCACCTAGCGAGTGGCACGGATCGTCAGCGCAACCCGGCAGAACCGGGCGTTGGTGTAGGAGGAATGACAGACACACGGATCACCTTACGTTTCAAAAACTGGAATTACTGGATTCCTCGTTTTCTTATCAAAAATCTTGAGAGATTCCAGGGAAACAGAGAGCATGCCTCTGATTGACCGGCTGCATTTTACAGATGATCAGATACTACAGTAGTAGACACATGTGTTCAACATGTAAGAAGCCTGAGAATTATTTGACGCACAGTACAGTTACGAACAATGCCATGAATATTAAAGTGCCGGATTACACGTACTGTATAGTCACTCCTGACTGTCGTGAGTCCTGAATGAAATGAAAAAATTCGGGTGAAAATCAATAGGGCGCAGGCCACATTTCTCCCTCAGTCAAGAAAAATTCGTGCGCGATTAATCGAATGTCTGATTTTTTAAAGACCAGATGACTTCGACTCATACAACAATGCCGTTGTCGTTGGATTTTTAAAATATCGTGTCGATTATCTAGTGTTTGGTTAAACAGGCGCATGGATATGAATTTTGCTTTCTCGTAAATTAGTTTAGTCTTCGTGAAACTACTTTTTGCCTTCTCTAAAAAATAATAAGGCATGATGCTTGTCCATTAATTTCTTCGACAAAGTACATTATTGCAATTTTTCTGATTGAATCCACCCCACCAAGTTGAATGTGATGCCAGTGCAGCATCATTTTGTCGTGGGATTCGTAATTTTGACTTATGTCGTGAACGTTCATTTCTCAGTCGGAAAAAAATTAGCGCGAGTGTGCTTGAATTATATGAAGGCATTGTATCCTGTAAAATGAAGTTCTGACTAATTTTGAGATATATTCTTCCAAATTTTCACCCTTCGAGTAGACGAATAACCGAGTACATGTTCGGAATGTATAGTCCGTGAAATTTAAATTTGAGCCCCTGTGTTTCCCTTCCGTTGACCAATTAACTCGGCTAACGAAATTCTGGATGTGCGGAACTTTATCAAGATTGTGAAGTCAGTCTGGGTTGTTCCTTTGTCGAATGAGATTTCACTGAGAGTATTCCAGTGTATAGTTTGATTATCCCGAAAAGGAACCTGGTCATTCGCTTTAAAAAGTGGAGTTTGGAAGATTTAATTTTTTAAATTCTGTCTCGAAGAACTTCTGATGCCAAGGCTGGTAGACGAACTTTTTAAATCAAGCTTTTCTTCGGTCGGCCGCGTCCCGCTGTCCTCCTGATGACGCTATCGCGTGAGACGCGTTCCGACGGGATCTTCGTCAGCTTGTGGAACTGCGCGGTGAGATTCGTATGCCACCGAATATGCCCGGGGTTTCCACGGAATTTGTAACGGTTTTGACGCCGATGACGATAAAATACACTGGTGCGTTATGCACAATGCACAGCATGGAAATGCCGGTGCGTGACAGGACAGAACCGTGCAGTAAATCGGGGCTCTCTTTTAGAAGCCGTTGTTGGTGTACTGGTTCAGGTTTCGCGAACAACGCCCGGGTTGAGTCAGAAATTTCGCACGGGTGTGGAGATCCAAAGATTATAGCTTTAGGGAAGAAATACTTCTTGCATTTGGGTTGTTGACTGATGTTGAAGAAAGCAATGCCGAGTTACTACTTCAGGTGACAGAAATGGACTGACAACCGTTTGTGCTATGAGGGGTTGCGAGGATTTTCTGAGGAAGAGATTTACGAATGAAAGCGCAAAGCTTCGGATTATTCTTGAAGCCCAATAAATGTCGGGGGTCGTTTCCCTGATCCTTACGGAGCTGCGCCCGACAAGTGTGGTTGATGCTTTTCCTTGGTTCATCCGTGGCGGATTTGTGGGACATCAGTTTTTCGGATTTCCGTGAAAGGAGCTCCGAGAAAATCGCTTTTGTTTTCGACTGGCCCCCCATCAGGAATCGAGTTTTCTTCTCTGGCTGCACTGCACTGTACTTGTAAAATGATGAAAACTATTGGACCGAAAATCCACTATTTACCAATAATTGCCAAGTACCGAACATTTTTATACGGAGTGAAGATCCTGGGATTTTGCTCGTCGAGTTACTTTTCAGCTGCATTAATTTATTAAATCAATGCTTCTAGAAGTCTACAGAGGACATGCGATCTAGCGATTCTGGGTGAATACAGATCATTGTGATTTAAGCAGTACGTTGCGATACGGTCTTCCGAGTACGGTTTTTTTTCAATTTTTTAAAACTTATTTCTGGGAAAATCGCGTTGCTTCCAAGTCGATATTTCGCTACACGATGTTGAAACCACAAGATTTACAACATGGTGTAAATATATAAATTATTTTATGAATTGTAAGTGCTGTTATGCAGTGGTGTGCACAATGTTCGTTAAATACTAGCACGTTGTCTGTACTAATTTGCTAATTTTAAATCCAAAGTATACGAGAGCATGTTTAGATGACTGTTCCAATTAGGGCTGAATTTTCTCGGTGCTTCAAAGTTATTTGCCCCCTCGTCGTTATGTCATCCCCTTATCCAGGCGAGGTTTCTCCTTACTGATGGCATCAGAACAAGAGTTCACTGGGATTTTTTTTTAAACATGCCCATAACTGGATGGCTCATTTGTAACCTATCGAATTGAGTAGCTGGTTAATGTCCAATGAGCTTCATGGTTGAAAATGTGAAGAATGGTTGAACTTAGAGGCTGCTGGTGGGTGCTCAAGTTGAACCTAACGGTAACGGATGAGAAGATTGTGGCATAATTTCTTGAACGCAAGGCCGGATAGCCCGCGTCACATAGCCTTTGAGAATGCCAAATAAAAGAGTAAAACGGCGAGACTAATTTCTTGATTCATATTAATCGCCCAAGTCTGAGCGGTTATTCAAAATTTCAACTTATCTTCTTCTATAGTTTCTAACTTTCTATCATACGTTGCGATTGTGTCAACATTTGCTCGAGCAAAAAAAAAAAAAAGTGTTCGCGGTTGGCCCCGCGAACACCCGTTACTTTTTGTTCTTTGATTGTGTATACGTATGCTTCCTGCTTGCTCGGAACGGATTTGTCGTAACGCTGCATCAGCTCAGCTGATCAAATACAATATATTGACTTCCGCCGTCAGGACATTTTATTTGTACGTTTCCCGTATCTTCGGATATGTACAGAACTCTGACATCGTGCCGAATACCCGTCCGGAAATCTATCCGATTCCTGGCTCTAAGTAACCGCTGGGCTATGGGAACGGTGCTGACGCTAACTCATCTGAAAAAGCTCCAGAAATTCAATACACTTCAGCACTTTTGAAGTGATCCGTCTTGATCAGCTTTCTGTCAAACAATTTCCTGAAAATTTTGATTGCGGGCCTATTTATTTTGAAAGTGAGCTTTTACGTTTTGTTGGTCAATCCACTCATTGAATTTATTCATGATTCACTCAGCAAAGTAGTTATTGTGCACCCGATTCAAAATTATGCTTAGTTTACTGCCAGAAAGAACTATTAATCAAATACTCAGCAGTCGCGATATTTGTAGGAAGTGTGAACAATTAACCTTTCACATTAGTTTGATTGAAATTGGTTGAATGGAGTTCTTCTTCCTAAATTTTTAGAAATGAACATCTCAATTGAGGTTTTTACACTGTACTCCAATAGAATATTTCAGTAATACATTATTTTAAATCGAAACAGGGATCAGAAGATGCCGTGATGGCTCTCTTCAAATTTAAAAATGCATTATTATCCGGAAGCAGCAAAAGCACAGTAAGCATGTCGTGCATCGAAATCAAGAACTTCTCAGAACATAAGCAATCTGTGTTCCTCTTAGGTTTTTATATTAGGGTACTCGATCTTACAGACGAGCGAAAAATGTAAGACGATAATGAAGGTTGAGCTCATGATGAAAATGCCAGACGGTTTCTTTTGTTCTAGCTGATGGACAGGTTCCTAGATGAAGGGAGTCACGTGCGAGAAACTTTTCGAACGCGTTTGCTCTTTCTTCGGTATTTTTCGTTGTGGTCATCCGCGAAAAGTATTTAATATAACGTTTGGTGCTCGTTGATGACGATTTTTTCTTGAAATGATGTCATGGGTTTTCTGGTATTTGTAGGACGAGGAAGATGAGACGAGTGAGAAAAAGTCGGCCAAAGACGCCCTGCTTCTGTGGTGCCAGAGGCGGACGACCGGTTACCCACACGTTGAGATACATGACTTCACTGGTAAGGCGCCAGTCTGTGCAAGCTTTTGCCAACCGCCAATTCCTAAATGAGGCTAATGCTTTGGTTTACAGGCTCTTGGGTGAGCGGCATGGGCTTCAACGCGCTCATCCATGCCCACAGGCCAGACCTGATCGACTTCCAACGACTCCACCCGGACAACCACCTGGACAACTTGAATTACGCTTTCAATGTCGCCGAGCGAGAATTGAACATTCCCCGGCTCCTGGATGCCGAAGGTGCGTTTTGATCCCTATTTTCAAAGGTTTCGGGATGGATTTCGCCTTAAAATGTTTGTTCTGGGGTTGGCCCTTTTTTTTTATCAACTGTATCTCTCATGCTCGAAGAAATGTTGAGCTTTTTTCGTGGTTTTTGCGGGTCTTATGAGCATCGCCATGGAAAGAGTCCACCTGCGTATTTGAGTTGTTTTCAAAATTTTCCTTGACCATGAATGCGGAATAAATACGTTTCGATGATCGTTTCTACAGACATTGACACCATCAAGCCCGATGAGAAATCCGTGATTACCTATGTGGCCTCTTATTACCACTGCTTTGCAAAAATGAAGAACGAAATCAAAGGCGGAAGAAGGATTGCAAATGTGAGTTATATCAGGTTATTTGTGGGCGAAGTTCCCAATAAAGCATGATTCTGCAGATTCATGCACACCGTTTCTAGAATTCACATATTGCGATAAACGACCAATCTCATGCCGATGATCTTGTACCGTATATGTTTTACCATCGAAAAAAAAATCTGTTGATCACAATCCGTTTTATTTGTTGCGAAGCTCCGGAATTCTTTAAAAATTATTAAACGATATATATATGAGAGTCAATCTCGATATGAGAGCAAGGTTTCAGTACTTTAAACGCTCGAATATAATCATCTCAGAAAATTGCTTCGAGGTATTGATTCATCACTGAATGTCTCGATCCGCGCAGATTGTTGGTCAATTGATGGACATTGACCAAATGAAATCCACGTACGATGATTTCACCCGAGAATTGCTGCGGTGGATCCAGCAAAAAATCGTTGAACTCGATCGCCGTGAGTTCAAGAACTCGCTCGAGGGAATCCGACAGGATCTGGCGCAGTTCAAGAAGTACCGAACCGTAGAAAAGCCCCCGAAGTATGACGTTAAACTCCTCGGACTATTAACCATCTAAATATATCTTCTGCCGTTTTAATGCGAATAAAAGGTACAAGGACTGGAGCGAGATTGAGGCTTTATTTTTTGGCATCAACATGAAATTGTCCTCACTAAACCAACCGCCGTATGTGGCTCCCGATGGCCAGTCCGTTCACGATATCCAGAGTGCGTGGGAAAAGCTGGAGCGTGCGGAGCATCGGCTGGAAGTTTCCCTGCGTGATGAATGGATGCGCCAGGAAAGACTTGAAAACCTGGCCCAAAAATTTCTCCGAAAGGTTTGTTTATCCTTTTTAATTCATTACTACGCCATTCATTACTTCAATTCCTTACTATTATTGTACTAAGAACTTCATTTTCGTTCTACTGAACCGATGAATTTTAGTTTTTCCCCTGAGTATGATGTGCACCTAGCGTAGTCGAGCTTTCAACAGCAATTTCAGGTACTTCTAAATCTTGGGATGACCAAATCGACTGATTTTTATTTTTTTATTTTAGAAAAATGTCACGTCTATCTGTTTCATCTCAAAGATGTCAGCCTCTCGCTTTAATTTTTTCTTGCTAGATCTGAGTGTGCAAAACTTAGCGGTATGTTCAGGGAAATAATCCTTATCCACTATTTTCCTCGAATTTTTCAACGCAAAAAAGTCAGCATTCTACTACCAGTAGGTATTTATTTTTCAGCGTCAAGTTACTTCGTTTACGCATTTTGAGTTTCTGGAGACCTTTTTGGTGAAGAAGCCTATTTTTTCGTTTTTTTTTTCAAAACAGTTTTGCTATAGTTAAAAATTGTTCACTGCGTTCATGGCTGCATACCCGAAGTAAAAAATAAAATAGTCGCAGCACGCAGTGACATTTTTCATGCGAGGATTCTACTTCAGTCAAATGAGATGTACTATTTCATCCGAACATCTTTGAACTTGTACTGCGTCTCTATTAATGTAACTGAAACTACGAAACGCTAAGCGTTGCTCCCTTCGATAGTTCACTATGATATTTTTCATATTTCTTGATGGATTGAGACATTCAAGCGAAAATAACAAAGATAGCGCCCTCACTTCGGGGTGCGTACAAATGATCAAAATGTTACCAATGCCTCACGTCTTAATCACCTATGTTTACGAGTATCCACCGGCATGTTTGCCTCTATCAATAAGAATCTAATTTGCTCATTTAGGACCTGGGAGTGCTAGGAACATCTTTTCAAAGGTCCCTGCGTTCAACGACGCCATTGCTGCTTGTTACGACATTTGCATAATGCTGATTATTAATCTCTTCGAGAATTATGAGTACAACACTCTCCCTCTCTCTGCTCGATCATATCTTGCCATATCCTTCGTTTGTTTGACAATCCAGTCGACGTGAATCATTAACTGGACCCTGCATGGTAGAGAACCATTTACGCGATGTGATACACAATATTTTCTTGCGAATTTCCCGCAGGCTGTTGTCCGCGAGAATTATTTGAAGGAGATGAACCAAGTATTGTCTGATCCTCGCTATGGTTGCAACGTGTCCCAAATCGACGCTACAGTGAAAAAGCATGAAGCTATCAGCGCCGACATCCTCGCCAGGGTAAGATCGGAGTTTATCCGGGGTATTTTTCTACTTCTCTCTGGATTACGTGTTAATTTTCTTCATTTCATTCAACAGAGAGAACGTTTGCACGAATTGGCTGATATGGCTGTTGAGTTGGATCGAGAGAACTATCGCGGAAAGGAAGAAATCAAAAAACGGTAATTTCGTGTGATTTTTCTTCCCTTGCCTAATACTATTTATTCGAACGCACGCCTAATTTGTCTCCTCCATGGATGCACTGTAAAACTCCCAATGATTCAAACTAATTTCCGGGCGCTCTTTTTCAAACGAGCACATAGTTATATGTCATTGCACGGTATGTATACAACTATTTTTCAAAGATAATGAAAAAAAAACTTCTGAACTATTACCTGACATGACATTGCCGCAAAACTAAAGGTGCATCAATCTGAACGAGAAGCCCGCATCAGTCGTCGATCGGAAGAATTAAGTAGCTCAAAATACTGTACTTGGATGCATGCCCCAATTTTTCCTCGCACAATGAACCTGGAACGGGTAAAAAAAGTTCGGGTAGTCGGTTATGCTGTATTTTTGCTTTTCATTTTTCTGACGTACGAATTTTGTTTTTTGTGTCCGCTGAAATCAAGAAAATGCGCTTGGCATAATTATCGTGTTGGGATCGCTGGCATCAACATACTTGCGTTTTTTATCGTAGGAGTCGTGAAATTATGGAGAAATGGCAAGAGTTGCTGAAGCTCCTGGAGAAATTGAAAGTAACGCTTGCAACTCTGTCGAATCTGATGTCGCTGCTGCGTGAAGCCGAAACTGTGACGGCATCTGTGAAGGATCTCGAGGTACGTTTCATCCACTTTCAGCGTACTCCGAACGTGAAAAAAAAACGATGGCATAAATGAAGGAATAATTAAAATTTACCGCTTCCGCAGGATGCTTTCAAGTCTGAAGACGTCGGCATTCATTTGATGGACGTGGAGGATTTGCTCCAGAAACACGCCATTCAGGAAGCAGAAGTAAACTCCGTCGGAGATACCATCAAGAAGCTGAACAAGCAGGCACAAACGCTTTTACTAGCTGACTACAAAGAGTCGCCGTTGCTGGACAAGAAATTGCAGAAGTTGAACGACGAGTACGCGAACGTGCTCGCGGTGAAGGACAAGCGTCGAGCTCTCCTCGAGGAAGCACGCAATTTTTTCTCGTTCCTTCAGAACCACGAAGATGAGGAGGCATGGATAATCGAGAAACAGCGCATTTGCCAGGCTGCGCTCATTGCCAAAGACCTGCGAGCTGTGATGATGATGCAGCAAAAACACAAGGTTAGTGGATCCGTTTTCTCGCATGGCAAGCTTCACTGCTCTAGAAGCTTATTTATTTATTCGTATTACTCCTCGTGACATCCATCATTATGCAGTATTCCGATGTAAGCTCGCAGAACTCCTTTTGATTACATGGGCAACATTTATATCCTCGGGTGTCGACTGTGCTAGAGATATTCGAGTATTGTGTATGCTACGGAATATGCATGGGCTGTATTTTCTAATACTGTATCTGCAAAAACATCAGAAAGTTCTTCAAGAAAATACAAGTTCGAAAAAAAAATTTGGCTTGCGGTTTTTTTTCTGCTTGAAATTAATGGCCAGAATCAGGGTGCGGGCGATTGACGCGTGCGTTTTGGCCTGTAAGCATGATGAAACAACTTTAAATTTGTGGCGTGATGCTCTCCAATATCCAGCTTCGTAATCTTATCCATTTAGATTTTTAAAAGAACTACTGTACTGTATTGATCTTCATCATTGGTAAGTACGAGAAAATCAGCGAGAACCTGGGTAGTTCATTCTAGATGAAAAAATTGTTCCAAGTTGTTATTGGGCTGGAAACAATACAAAAGAGCCAGTATTTAGTGGCAAAGAAGTGAAAAATTTAGTTGCCGAGAAATGTCCAGTTTTGTCGATCGGCAGGAGTTCGTTCATTTCCTTTTTTTTTTAGTATTTTCAATTCCACGTAATGCATTTAACTACATTGCAGTATCCAGTTCACGTTGGAAAACTTCACAATATCCTATTAAATAGGCTTTGGAAGACGAAGTCCGTGCGCGGAAGGGAAAAATCCGAAACATCTATTCGGAAGGCGAGGATCTCATTAAGTGCAACCATTGCGCCTCTGACGACATTCGCGCTCGCCTTCAAGAGCTCGATGATCAGTGCAAAGCTCTTGATGAGCTAACTGCGAAAAAACGCCTCCAGATTCAGCAAGCTATCGAAGGTTACCAGGTAAGTTTCCTCTTCCCATTAATGCTGTGAACTTTCTTCGCGATAATGCTTTGAACGATATGCTGTGTCCTTCGTGCAAGCGCACTGCTGTATTTTTTTTTTATGTAGTTCCGTTCGATCTTCTATCGTTTCGGAAAAGGTCTTGAACAGCAATTCTTTGTAAGCCTCTGAATATCGTTGTGGAGCGAGTCCACCTGATGTATTTCTTCTTGTATTTCCTGTTTCTACGTCGATTACCTGACGGTATGGGCAGTGCAAGTTTAATGGCTAATGACATCACTGCTGTGCGGCGATGCGCCTCTTTTTTTTTTATCACCCTTAAATTCCTTCGAATATCATATTCACGGTTGCAGATGCTCTTGACTTGAAGCAGTCTTTTTGTGCACGATCGCAAGCGTATTTAATGCAGTATTCTCTTAACGCTCATCTAATTTTAGCCTTTGCTTTTAAGTAGAATTATGATTTTTTTGCCTTCATCTAAATCATTTATATTCCACACATTACGTGAATAGAACTGGCATTAGTTGACCATTGTCGAATCCAGCTCATTAATTCTCGCGAACGGTCGCATGTTTGGTACGGTCGGTAATCCTTTGACTGCGTGTCACAATGCGTTGCGTGTTCTCCGGCAGTTTTATGCGGACGTGAACGAAGCAGAATCATGGATGAAGGAGAAATTGCCGCTGGTCAAGTCGGCGGATTTTGGTACTGACGAACCGAGCGCGCAGGCGCTCCTGGCGCGACAGAAAGTACTTGAGGGAGAAATTCAAGCATACAGAGGTGAATTTGCGTTTTGATCTGCTGGGATGATGGTCAGTGCATGATTGAAATACATACAGCCGATGAACATCTCACTGATGGATTTGCGCAATTCGACTTCCCGTTGGGGAAAACTTAAAATTTGAAAAATAACAGCGTTCATCGCCTTCCCAAGTCACCGCGCTGTTCAACCTATTTTCAGTGCTCCCCCCAATATATACATTCCCCATGCAGAAGAGGCTCGTACAAAATTTTCAGGGAACGATTCAATGATGGAAGCCCAAATCAGCGTACAAGTTTATTATGAAAGCAGGTAAACCGTTGACTCACTCAGAATTTTAATACAGTGCGCGAGAAAGAAATTAAGACCACCGCTCCCACAAACACAGAAGTCCTGAGGTGCATCTCTCAATTCGGTTTTATTCGGTTTTTTCCGCGCATCGATCCTTTCAATTTTGCACTTGGAAAATTGGACAAACCTTCCTCTCTGTTCAAATTATAGAGCATCTCCGGAAAATCCGCTCGGAGTGTTATGAAAAAAACGAATGCAGTTTAAGCTCAGTTTTGGGGAGAGGGGCATATTTCTTATTCCTGCCGAGTTCAAAATTTCATTTCCTCCGAATATGAAGCAAGGAGGAAGACTTCATCGGGAAATTATTTATCTCGAGAGTGTGTGAACCACTAATGAATCGATTTCCTGCTTAAAACATTTTTTTTTTGCACTTTGTTGGAATAATTCGAGTGCGCTGCAATCTTTTGTGTGGCCCAACAAACCGATGGGCTTAACGTTTTTCGCTCGCTCAACAGCTTTTTCCCTTCTTTTTTCCCTAGGCGATGTGCAATCTTTGAACGCTCAAGGGGAGAAGCTAATTAAAGCGGGAAATGCTATACTGACGGTAAGTACTTTCATTTACAACTGTTTTTTTCATAATCAACTCTTTCTTTGCTGTTTCATATTTTTTCATTCCTTCTCTATGCTATAATTTTTAGCTGTCGCAAGACGACTCCGGTTTGGGAGAAGATGAACCTCAGGAGGAGTGGGTGACAGAAACACGACTGGTTCCTCAAGAGATTTGGGTTGATGAGCCGGTCAAGGTAACCGAGTTGACGACCGTGACGGAAACGGTCACCGTTAATCAGGTCCGCGCTCTGTACGCGTATGACGGTCACGGAATGAAACAAGCCAAAGGAGAGGTTCGTAATCGTCGTTTATCGATCTCATTATAAAAAGCGTCAATACATTTTTTACATTTGTTTTACCTAGAGTTCTGGATTTAAAAAATAATTACGTCAAGAACTCGAGCTGCTTAATTGCTCGATGATTGATACACGGTTTATATAGTTTGTAATGGTTGATTTGGGATAATTAACCGTGAATATTCTGATTAATTCAAATGTTACTAATTTTTTCCGAATACAGTTAATTGTGAATGCTGCGGCGATGCTTGAGTTTTTTTAAGCGCCAGTCAGACTCCATTCAGAAAACTTTTTTGTTAAAAATACTGTATTTTCACTGAATTTTAAAGATTTCTTGGCTAGGATCGCCCTTTGAATACTATGTCTGCTTTGCAGATCATGGTGCTGCTCAAAAAAACGAACGATGACTGGTGGAACGTCCGGAAGCAGAACGGTCAAGATGGGTTCGTCCCTGCTTCGTATGTCAAAGAAATCGATCCGAAAATCATACCGGTAAAAAAACGTAAACCGGAAACCGTTGTTAAAATTCAGAAAGTCAAGCGAACAAAAATGGTTGAAAAGCAAGTTAAGGTGAAACGACCGAAACCACCCAGTAAGTGCTGAAATTTTCCGAGTTCATTCATTTTATTGAATTTTTAAAAATGTTGGTAAACCTTCTGCATGCGTAGTCCGTGGAGTGAAACCGAAGCAAAAGCAAGCAGCCGTGAGGGCAGACGTGGACAGCTGTCTCAAGGAGTTGAATAAGAACTACGATGATCTGGTCAAATTTGCTCAGGTACTTATTTTTCGCGAACGGACCTCAAAATTTACTCGGGTCTTTTATTGAATAATCTTCCTCCCTGGCTAGGATCGCCGAGCATTCCTCGAGGACTCCGTGCATTTGTTCAAATTTTATCAAGAGTGTGACGACCTGGAAAAGTGGATGAAAGACCAGGAGCGCCTTCTGCGAGCGACTCCGAACGACGAAACCGTCGCTGACGCCAAGATGAAATTTGAGGCAAGCCTTGTATTTCTTTCTCTCTCCAGTCCAAGAATCTGATGAAAAAAATTTAAGCGCATGAAGCGTATCTTTTTGTAATTTTTTCACAATTGTAATATTTCCAAACGGTCACCGATGATGCAAGGGGTTTCTCAAAATTTCTTTCAATAATTTTGCGAATCCATTTGAAACTTGGTGATGACTGGTTTATTTATTTTTGATACAAAGCTATAAGCGGGTAATTATATCATTATAATTATAGGCGGATGAAGATTGTGATGCATCCAGCAGATTATTGCACTTAATAATAAAGATTGTGATGCAAGCAGCAAAAAAAAAAAATGTTGTGAGGCCTAATGCTAACCTTTCGAATCCATCATGAAATATTTCGGAAGCTCTGATCAATGCAATTTTGTGGCGATCATTCGATCTCCGAATTTTTCGTGGAATTTTCCCCAAAACTTCAGAAATATTACAATTCCGCTGACTGATGCCCGGCTTTTCAACTGTCTTCTTCGGCCGGCGCGTTTCTGACGACGACATTTATCAAGAGTTGTCCTTATCTGCGACCTATAATAAGGGGAATCACGGAAAATACTGTAATTTAGTTTAATAATTTTGACGACAAAAAATAAGCAGCTGTCGTAAGATCTAGCTTTGTCTTCAAGTCGTTTCTCGTGTCTTCATATTTCGCGGTCATTCCATTTTCTCTTGAGCTTTTTGAGACCGACGTTCCGCCGAATAAGCCAACCAGAAAAAATAGCTCAAATATCCCCCTCTCACTGGAAATCCTCCCGGCTTACAGAAAATGAAATTTGCAGCTGTTTTTCTTCGTTTCTCTTTGTGCAAACTAAGATGAATTTGCGTGTATGAGTCGGTTCCAGAAAAATTATAGTCATATTTCATCTTAGAGCACTGTCAGTCGATGTGTGATTCGAGAGACTTCTATAAGAAACTCCTCGCATCTCGGTGGGAATCCTGACGGCGCTTGATGAAAGAAACGTGTAAAATGATTGCATAATATTCTCCGCATGAGCAGAAATTCGTGACGGATATGTCTGCTGCAACTCACCGGCTCGAGGAGCTCGATAATGCTGCAGCCGATTTGGAACGCGAAGGCAATACCCAAATGGACAAAATTCGTCGTCGTCAGAAACAGATTCATGCTATGTGGAAGCGGATGAATCAGCTCAAAGAAGAAAAAGAAAAGAGTCTTGAAGGTGCGACCAGTGTGGAATTATTCGGGCGCACCTGCGACGAAGCGTGTGACTGGATGCGCGAAAAAATGATGAAAATGGACACCGATGACCTTGGGCCTGACCTTAAAACCGTTCAAGCGCTACAGCGTAAACACACCAATCTGGAACGCGAGCTTGCTCCTGTGGAGCAAAAAGTAGAGAGGGTGAATCTGCTAGCTGAAAGGTTTGTCTTGACAATGTGAATTATCATATATTTCGACGTTTTACGGGAGATCTTGTCTATTGGCAGTGTCATCAACTCGTATCCAATGGAACGGGCTAGTGTTTTATCCCGGCAGAAGCAACTGCAGGATTTGTGGAAAAGCGTCAAGGTACTTGATTTTTCCTGCATGGAAACTCACAAAGATACACTGAGCTGTAGAAGCACAATTCTTCTACTGCTGATTTTTCTTACGATGTCTTTCGCAGATTTATTTGCCCAATGAAAAGTGTCAAAATATAAAAAATATTTTCTCTATACAGAATGTATCTTTGAATGAAAACGGTTGAAAAAGTTAGGCATAAAAAAAAAACAACTCCACGGCAGAATTCTCCAAAGCAAGCGCTGGGCATGAGTTGCTGTCTAGAACTTCAGACTGTATATATACTGCACTTGAAGTTATCAGTTTTGAATTTCCTCGAATTTTATTGTGTAAAATGGAGACAGTATATTGTCTAGAGGTTCTGGCGATTATCCCTGTGAATACTCATTCAAAAAATATTGTTTTCTTCGCCTATTTTATTCGTTAAAATTAGACTAAAGCTCAGGAGCGTCGGGCGCGCTTGGAGGATGCAGTTGGTGAAGCCGTATTCACGAGAAGTTCGAAAAATTTGGTGAGACATTATTTCTATTTTCAGAACTCCAGTTGCGTACTCACGCCATCGTTTCTTGGCGAACGAGTGTCTTAAAGGTCGATTTAAGTTTCTCTTTCCGAACTGATGTGAATTTTACCTTCAAATGTAGTTGCGCTGGGTTGCAGCTATAAAAGAAGCTCTAAATGCTGATGAAACTGCAAACGATTTGGCCACAGCTGAAGCATTGCTGAAGAAGCACGCCGATCTGGGGGAAGAAATCAAGGGTCAGGAGAGCGAGTACGTTCGAAATGCTCTTCCAATTTTTTCCGTTCTGTACGGCGATCCGTTTTGCCCGGTGCATTTGATATTCATGGTTTTTTCAGGTTCAAAACTGTAAAAGATCACGGGAGAAAACTTCTCTCGAGAAAACCTTCGTCACGAGAAGCGGTTGAAAAAGCTCTGGTGGAGTTGGAAGAGGAAGAAAATGCAGTTCGTCGTGGTTGGCAAGAAAAAGAGGACTGGTTGCGTCAGCGGCGTGATTTGCAAGTCTTCGAGAGGGAAGCAGACCATTTGGATTCCGCAACATCTGCTCACGAGGCATTCCTCGCGTTCCAAGACCTTGGGGTAAATCTTGGCTCGAGGGGGGCGTGGAGAACTCGATGTCGTTTGGTATTGTTTTACACAATAATTTTTTTTTAACAGGAATCTGTCGATGCTGTCGAAGCCTTGTTGAAGCGGCACGACGAGTTTGAAAATATGCTGATCGTTCAGGACGAGCGACTCAAAGGATTCGTCATCATGTCCGATGAGCTTCTCGAAGCGCAACATGCTGCCAGTCAATAGTGAGCATCACATATTTCGTTTCGATTACGTGGAAATTAAGTTTGAATTCAAGGTTTAAATTTCCAGTTTGAAAAATTCAATCAAAATAAGATTTCCAAACAAAGGCATACTTTAATATCAGCGAAATGAATCATCCTGAGCTAAATTTAATTGCTGTTTAATTTCAAAAACAGCAATTTTTGGCCGATGAGTTTTGCTATTTGCTCGGCGCCGTTCACGTGTGCTCTGCATTGCTGTAGAACGTCTGAAAACAATAATTTCACATCTGTAGCATTCTCGAGCGACGAAATGCCGTCGTTGCTCGACGCCAGGCAGTCAAAGAGAAGGCGAGCGAGCGACGCAACAAGTTGCTCGCATCTCGTGATTATCAAGCGCTTATGGCAGATGCTGACGACATGAGTTCATGGATGAACGACAAACTCAAGCTGGCCTCCGACGAGTCCTACAGAGACTTGAGCAATTTGGAGAGGAAATTGCAGAAGCAAGAGGCATTTGTGCGAGAGCTTCATGCCAATGAAGGTCGCTTGAAGGGATTGCGCAAAGTTAGTTTGCTTTTTGTCTATTATACGTTCGCGAAAATCGTATAGTTAAGTGGGTTTAATACAGTACATGGTTTGTACAAGTTCAGTCATCGAAAGTAATGGTCGTTTCTTGTGCCTTTTTGGGAACACCCGATGCTATCGTATGTACTCGTATCGCAGATGATCAAGAGCAGTATTTTAAACGTCAATTTACTAGAATTTGAAAAGGTTTAGAACTATTCAGCAATGAAAAAATCCGAAGATTCAATATATGAAAAAAAATCATCGATTGGGAGCGTAAAAAATTTCTTTGTGAAGTTCAGATCAATCAAAGAGGAATAAAATGACAGAAACGATAATTTTTCGGTTTTGTGTAACTGATGTATGTCCTCGTCTAAATTCATTCAAGTCGAAGCGAAGGTTCAAGTATTTCTCTGAGTGTACTTTGGCCGATAATTTATGTCCAAATCCTTTTATGTTCTGTTTTCTAGGCTGCCCAAGGACTCGTAAATTGCCAGCATTATCGTTCACCTGAGATCGAAGAAGCCATCGAAAAACTGAATGCGATGTGGGATAATTTATGGTCCAAAACCAATGACCGTAAGAAGAAGCTAAGACAGGCTAATGCTCAGCACGAATTCAACAAGTATGTGGCTTTCCCCCTTTCAATGAGACCGGTGCATCTAATCAAATCGATTTTTTTTCCGAAGAACTCTGGAAGATGCCAAGGAGAAGTTGGATGATTTGGAAAAAAAATTGATATCTACTGATGTTGGAAGCGACTTGAGAAGTTGCAAGCAATTACTTTATGCCCATCAGGTGAGACGAAATCATCGTGTTTTATCTGTCGTCATCCTCTCATGCTTTTCGTTTCCAGGGCATTGAAAATGATATGGAGCAGTGGCAAATGAAGATCAGGGACATGATCGACTCCGGAAAAGATATGGCTCATGATGGTCATTTCGATGGCGACGCAATTCTGCAGGCTTCAGGCTCCTTCCAGAAAAAGTTGGTCTCATCAATATCCTCTCATACATTAACTTATCGACCAGTTTCATCGGATCGTCATTTTTATAATTTCGAATTGAAAATTCCACGAAGGTATGACAGACTGAAGGCCCCAATTTTGCTACGGCGAGAAGCCTTGGAGAAAGCTTTGGCGTATTACGAGTTCGCTTTTGAAGTCGACGCTCAACTGCAGTGGATTGCGGATAAGCTTCCGATGGTCAAGTCGGAAGCCGTTGGTCAGTCACTCCACGAAGCCCAAAGTTTGGACAAAAAACATAAGAAGTTGATGGATGAGCTGAATGGTCACGAAAAATCTATCGATAAAATCATTACCGAGGGTCAAGGATTAATCAAAAGCAATCACCCTCACGCTGCCCAGGTATGTTTGTAGCATTTTGAAATATTCATCAGTTACTGTCCTTCAAACTTTTCTGTGAGAAATGAATTACGATAGGTGCCATTTTTAATTTATCCTGATTATGCTCCTCGCAGTTCACGATATAGTGTAGTTTCAGTTCTAACATTGGTGCATACTGAAGGCATGAATTTTTGTGATATACTTGCCGAAGTATTACAACCGCCATATTCGTACTTTAATTTGCCTTTCATGTTATCTGATGTACTTCTCATCTTAACGGTCAATCAGAAAAGCACATGGCTGATTTTTCTCATGAGGATCATGCAAAAGTTTTTAAAAACACAACTTCAACATTATTTTTCGTGCGTTTCTTATTATTCTGTTACCATAAATTTGCTCGAAAAAAAAGAACGCCAAAGCTGAATTTCTATCTTCGTGGAACAGGTAGAAGAACGTTGTGATCAATTAGCTCGTCGGTGGAAGGAGTTGATTCAATTGGCTGAAGAACGTAGCCATCGCCTGGACTTGGTCCTGAAAGCCCAGCAATTCTACGCCGAAACCAATGAAATTGAAAGCTGGCTGAACGAGAAACAAAACGTGTTTCAATCGAAAGACTTCGGGAAGAATGAAGAAGCTGCGAAACGACTTCTTGCAAAACACAAAGTAAACCTTACGTCTTGCAATTCACTATTATAAATCCTTTAGCATATTATATATATCCTTGGTTGTATGAAGACGAGCATGAGTGGTTCCTTGATTGTAATGGCCCGTTAATTGTTTGCGTTAGGCTTTGGAATTGGAGTTGGATACGTACAACGGAATCGTGAACGAAATGGGCTCGATTGCACAAGGAATGCTGAAATCCCAACACCCTGAAGGGAAAATAATTGAAGACCGACACCAAATGGTTAGTCAGCAGGTGAAAAATTTGCAGAAGCTGGCCAACAGTCGACGTCAAAATCTTCTCGAATCCTTGTATCGCCACGAATATCTTCGAGAAAGCGACGACCTCGAACAATGGATCAATGAATGTATCCAAATTTCTTCCTCCGAAGATTACGGCAAAGACTGGGAACATTTGGAGGTATGTTACTCATTTAAAATCAATGAAATTCTTGAGTTTTACTTGCAGCGATAAATTTATCGAAGAATACTTCCCCTGATGAAGATAATACAGTATAACATTCCAATAAAGCATGCCATTTTTTCTGTTTAAAAAATTCTCCCGTGTATAATGAACTTACAAGTGTTATGAAAATCTGGGATCTATATCTACAGATTCAATTGTGAAAGTGCTGTATGATTTTTGTATTTCCAAAGACTCTCAGTAGCAAGTTTTCGGATTTCAAGCATCGTGTAAATGCCGGTGCGGAGCGTGTCATGGCGTGCCGTGACTTGGCGAAGAAACTGATCGGCAGTGACAGTCCTTACAGCAACGACATCGAAAAACGTCAAGAGCAGTTGGAGTACGTAAACTTCATCTTCTTTTGATGCTGCCTTCGCTAAAAATCACGAGGAAACTTTCGGTGTGCATCTGTCTAGATAATTTATACACGCTGCGGTTGGCATTTTATACGACGTCATTTTTCCTCAATTTCAGCTTAGTTAGCGTTCGAATTATTTCTGCCTGCTTCTAAGAAACAAATTGATTTTAGAGTATGATGGATCCGATGACGCATTGTACCGTTACATTCCAAACAAAATCGTAGTCTGAAATATTTTCGTCTAACTCGTGCGCTCAATGTTCATTTTAAAATGGACCATTTTTTCCTCGAATAGTGCGATATGGGAGAAGCTCAACGAGAACATCGAAATACGTGATGAACGATTCGTCGTCGCCAGTGATATTCATCAGTTCAACAAAGACGTGGCGGAAGCTTTAGAAAGAATTCAGGAGAAGAAAGGGAGCGTGCCGGATGACGTCGGACGTGATTTGCATTCGGTCGAGTCGCTGCTCAAAAAACACGACGGATTCGAGAATGATTTGGTTGCGTTAGAAACAAAGTTGCAGGTATAATTCTACAATATTCATGCTTTTCTGATGCATTATTCATTGAGTTTTCATAATCAAATTCCCGTTTAAACAGCTGAGGAATTCTGATGTATTTTAGTGTTTACGTTCGAGATTCATTTGGTATTTACCGCGTTGTCTTGGACTAATGCTGCGTGTGATAATTTATTTTCAAGTTATTGGTGAATGATGCTGCGAAATTGAGAGACATGTACCCCGGTGAACACGCGGATACCATTGCTGAACAGCAAACTGCGGTGGTGAATGCTTGGGAGTCGTTGCAACTGAGTGCAGCTGAAAGGAAAGAAAGATTGACGGCTTCTCTGGAATTTCATCGTTTCATGTCTGCGGTACATATTTTCTCCAAACGAATCAAGTCGCTTTGTTTATTTTTGATCGGTAATGCTGGCACTCGGTCATTCTCTGATAATTTTGAGGCTTTTATTATTAGCTATGTGATTTTTATCGATTTATCATTCTTTTTTATCCAATTGCACTCGAATTGTAGAAAATTTATTCCGGTGGACGTATGTTTTCATTCGTTTTGATTTTGGGATTTTGACCCGTATTCGTTCGCAGAGTCGTGACCTCTTGAATTGGGCGGAAAGTCTTAGAGGCACCATGATGGCAGAAGAGAAGGTTCACGACGCAGCGTCGTCTCAGATGGTGAAGAACGAACACGAACGCATCAAAGCGGAGATTGAGTCCCGTGAAGAATATTTTGCTGCTAACGTCCGCCGAGGAGAAGAAATGATCAATGACAACAGCCGAAAGCATTTCCATCACATAAGCGTGAGTTGTTCTGGAAATTTTATTCTCTCATCTTTGTGAGAGAAATAGTATTTTCGAAGAGCTGATTTACTTGATGTATGAATCTTTTAAATATGTGTTCCGCGTCTTGTAATCAAGTTATTCGCTTTCAGGACATCAAACGGCGAAAAGAAAAACTCCTGGACGAGAGGCAGAAATTGCATGCAACGTGGCATCACAAGAAAGTTTATCTCGACCAGCTCATCGATTTACATTTCTTTTTGCGGGATGCAAAGCAGCTGTCCACTATCGCCCAAACCCAAGAGGTATGTTTGCCTTGGGTTTAATTTAATTTTGAAGCACAGGTGATAGATCAATGCTGGAAATTTCAACTGGATTGCTGACGGGATCCAAACTCTCTGTTGTAGTCGGTGTATTGAAGAATAAAAAATAATAGTGAATTCGGACATGCGTATGTTCAGCAGTACTTATTCAGAATTCGTTGCTCTGTCTCCCGCAGGTGGCGTTGAACGCAACTGATGCATTTTATCACGATTCCGCGGATGGTTCACATCGAAGAGACCCTCTATCCATTGAGCAAGTGGACAGCGCTCTAAAGAAGCACGAGGCATTTGAAAAAGTCGTTCTGGCGCAAGACGACAAGTTCTCCAGTCTCCAAATGCACGGCGAGAAGCTGGTCCAGCAATGCCACTTCGACAGTCCAAACATTTCTAAGAAAATGGAGGAAGTTGAAGTCCAGAGGCGGAAGATTAAGGAACTCACTGCTTCAAAAAGATACCTTCTCGAACAGCTATTACTCAATGCGCAGTTCAATCGTGATGTAGAAGAAGCCCAGATTTGGATAGGGGAGAAGCTTAAAAGCCTGGAATCCCCCGAGCTGAAGGCAGAGACGGTTACCAGCTTAGAGGATAAGGTTAAAAAGTTGAAAAAGCATCAGGCTGTTCAAGCTGAAATCAAGTCAAACGAGCCCAGAATGAAACAAATCATGGAGAACGGCGATATCTTGCTGAAAAATTCGGTGGACGGCTCCACTGATGTTAGACGAAATCTCGACCAGCTGCGATCTGCATGGAAGGCGTTGCTACGCTTGTCTCGCAGTCTGAGCAAGGGTTTCGAAGAGGCTCAAGACATTCTTGATTTCAACTCTCATGTCGAGAAAGCAGAGTCATGGATAAAAGAAAAGGTATGCTTTGTTCGTTTATATTTAGCATTTTGTGAGATTCCAATTCCCGTCTTTTCCAGGAACTGATGGTTTCTGCTGCTGACACCGGAAGGGATTACGAGCACTGCTTAGAACTGCAGCGGAAACTCGATGATGTTGACTCAGAAGTACGAGTTGACGATTCGAGAATGAAGTTGATCAGCGATTTGGCGGATAAAATTGTCAGTCGTGGACACACCAATGCCAACCAAGTGTTGCGAAAGAGAGAGGATCTTAACCAGAAGTATTAAAAAAACCGATTGCGGTCTCATCCTGATCTAATGATTTAAAATCTCGTTGTCAGATGGAAAAATTTGCAAGGAGTTCTCAACAAATACCGCAATGGCCTGGCGAGTGCGTTGGAAATCCACGCCTTTTACCGTGACGTTGGTGAAACTAAGTCGCGTATTCATGAAAAGATGCTGGCTCTGAGCGTCGAGGATGTTGGACAAGATCTTCTGCAAGTTGAGGCCCTACAACGGCGTCAAGAAGCGTTGGAGCGAGACATTTCCGTGATTGGCGGAAGAATAAAGGTATTCAACATTTTTGTACGCACAATGTGCGCACTATAATTCTCTCCTTGTCCGACCGACGCGTAAAGAACAGCTCCCAAGAGAGAGACAAGTAGAAAACAGCGCTTCTGCGAATATGAAACACGAAAACAGCACTTGTGATTCCGACAAATTTGCATAGTGTCGTACAAGAATTCAGTTTGAACGTAGGTTTGGTAAGAAGGTATTATTTTGCTGTAAATTGTACCAGTAATGAATTGGCCGAAATTTTTATCTGTGTGGCATGTTATTCTGAAAATATTCTTGTTTTAGCCCCTATTCAGATTTTGACATATTGTATAATAATGAAAATCATGTCTCATGCTTTCGCTGACGTGGACTTTCCAGGAGAAACAATTTTTTGAAGTAAATTATGGAAAGTACAGTCATTATTGAATCTTTTCGTCGATTGCTTGCAATTCAGCGAAAGCATCTTAGCCGCTGAGTGTTGCCGACTTTTATTTCGAAGGAAGTCAATTCTTTCTATTTCAAACCTGCTGTTTGGTTGTTTGCAGGCTGAATGCAAGTTCTCCATTTATACATGAATTTGCATTTTTTTTCTCAGCAATTGGACGATTTTTAGATTTGCGGCCTGTCAATCACACGTTTTTGTTTTCTCGAGAAGCTAGTCAAAATTGACATGCGGCCTAAACTAATGCTTGGTCAATAATATAATTGCGTAAATACTGTAAACCGTGCTGTCCGTGCAGCATGAATATATTTCTTCAGCATGTTTCATTTTGTATTACTGTATACATAGACAAGCAGTGATACCCGAATTTCCCGATGCTCAGCTTTCCGTTCATTTTTTTTCACTCAATACTGTATCGCGTATCCAAATGACTTCGAAATTATGTACAGCATGTATTAAAATCGCCCGCTGATCCATGTTTCCTTAGGAATTGGACGCTGACGCCCGACGACTAACAAAGAAGTATCCCGACAGCGTTTCATCGATTCTTCAGCGCCTTTCAGACTTACAGGAGAGCTGGCGTGCGCTCATTGACAAGTCGGACGTTCGCAAACAAGCCTTGACTGCGTCTCACACATATCACAAGTTCCAATCGGAACTCAACGAACTCGAGCGCTGGTCGAAAAATATCCGAGAGAAGATGAACTCGATGTCCATTCCTACCTCGCTAGCTGAGGCCGAAGCAAATCTTCAGCTGCACCAAGAACGCAAGGCAGAGATTGATGGTCGCCAGGACTCCTTCAAAGCATTGAAAGAATTTGGTCATCGTTTATACCAGCAGTCGCATCGCAGCAAGGAACAAGTCGAAGAAAAAGTGCGTTAATACGCATTAAATTCGATTCAATTGTATCATTGTTGAAGGAGAAGAACACGGTGTTAAACGCTTTATTCTAATTCATTTTTTGTCTAATCCTTTAGCTCAACTATCTTGAAGAAATGCGTCGGGAATTGATGGCCGCTTGGGAAGAGCAGAAACAAATACTGCAGCAGTCGAAACAATTGCAGGAATTCATCTGCCAGGCTGATGAAGCTGAAGAATGGCTTTCCTCGAAAGAAGCTTTTCTTATCAATGATGACTACGGGGTAGGTTGATTGAATGTTTTTTTTAGAATTTTAAATTATATCGCTTGATGCAATAATGTATTCGGTTCAAGGTCACACACAATTTGAGAGAATAAAAGCTCATCTCGCAGAAAACTTGAAGTTCAGTGGGGAAAAAGTGACCAATGCACACGTCAAAAGTAATTCCCGTTGGACACTACTCAACTCTCTCACAAAATTTGAATTTAAAGGTTTTTCCGCTCTTGATCGAAAATTTTTGCAAAAACGATATGACAACGCATAAAAGAAGAAATCACCTGTTTTTCCTCTTGCAGGAATTTTCCTGTCTGATTTATCGCTGATTTGATACGATATTCCTTCGATTTTGATCGCTGGCCGTACCCCACTTTTTCAACTCATTTTTCGAAGGGAAAATTGACTTCTTTACTGAAATTAATGCAAAACAGTGTAACACTTTTTAAAACATGAAACTGTTGCTTAGGAATCAATGGCATCCGTGGAAGCCCTCATGCGGAAGCACACCGATTTCGAAAAGGCGTTGAGCGCCCAACAAGAAGCAAAAATTGATCAGTTGGAGCGACTAGCTACGGAGCTGGCTGCCGCTCAGCACATCGACATGGATACGATTCGAGAGCGTCTACAGTCAGTTTGTCATCGGCATGATCAATTGAAAAAGAATTCCTTGATGAGAAAACAAAAACTCGTCGAGTCCAAACAACTGCAGCAGTTTCTCAGCAACGTGTATGAGGTGAGTCCTTTGGTTCGTTTTACCGTACTTATAACGAAACCTGCTGCGCAGGGTAAAGCACGCGAGGAAGTAGACTGTTTTTAAAATGCGTGCCTCCTGAATGGAGGATTCGTGGCAGGTAGAATAATCTTGTATGCCATCGCATGAAAATAAAAAAAAGTCCACTGAAATAGTTTCCAAGGTTACGCTTCTTATTTAGGTGACCCGCGAGCAGCCACCCTGACAAAATATTGCTGTTTTACAGAGCGTTGTTTCAGGTTAGGCTTCTGGACCTTTTAAAAAGTTTCCCGGACTTTTTTGAGAAGAACTATTACGCTGACCGCAGAATGCGACGTCTCTTTCCAATAAGTTACTCGTAAAACTTCGTAATTGTTTTCAATCAAAGGTTTTTTTTTAGCGAAATTTCACTGATACTGTTTTCAACTGCGTGCTGACATGAGATTTGCGGAATCATTTGAGTTAGTTGTGCGATGATCTGTGCTGCTGGTGTTGAGGAATAATCTTATTTATTTTTTAGGTTGCTGGCTGGATCGGTGAAAAATATCAAGTTGCGAGCGACGACTCCTATCGTGATTTGACAAACTTGCAGCATAAGCTACAGAAGCACGTTGCTTTCGAAGCCGAATTGATAGCAAACGAAGGCCGAATCCACGCTGTGACCGAAGAAGGCGAGAAACTTATTGGAGCAAACCACTACTCCGCAATGGAAATCCAGTCGCGACTTTCAGAACTAGAGCATTTATGGCGACAACTGCAGGATGCTTCAATGGAAAAGAAAGCCAAATTAGAGGCTGCTTATCAAGTAAATAATAACTCTGAACATGGATTCCAAGAATTTATTTTGTTGAAATTCATTGTTATCTCGTCCAGACTCGTCTCGATCGATGCATCGACATTTTTTGAGCGTACAGTAATTTTATGAAATGTGCCTTTTTCCTTGACAAGGCGTTTGCATTCACGAGATCATTGGACGACTTGGAAGCTTGGATGGACGAAGTGGAGTCACAGCTTCAATCCGAAGACCACGGTCACGATCACACGTCTACTCAATTTTTGATCAAAAAACATCAAGCACTCGAAACAGACTATCATCATCATGCAGAAAATACTGAGAAAGTAAACGAGCAGGTCAAAAAGTTCGCTGTTTCGGGCCATTTCTTGATTGAGATGTTGGAGGAAAAATCCCGTCTAACAGTGGACAGGTAACTTGTTGCTAGTCGATATTTTCCTGGACCTTAGGAAATGTTTTAAAATCTATTTAATCTAGGTACAATTCACTTCAAGAGCCTCTACAAATTCGCAAAGAGAACCTTGAAGACGCGTCTCAGTTGTATCAATTCACTCGGGACATAGACGACGAAATCATGTGGGTTCAAGAAAAAGAACCGATCTGTCAATCAAATGACCTCGGAAACAGTCTGAGAGCTGCGCAAAAATTGTTGAAAAAACATCAGGTAACTTTCTGTGCTCCTTTCTTTTGTGAATGGAAGGCTTATGCTATCCGTTTTTTGCATAATTACAGACGACAGAGGGAGAAATTCAATCGCGCGAGTCGGTGATCGATCGCTTATGCACAAAAGGCGAGAAAATGATTAAAAATGGGCACGTTGATGCTGCGACTATCGAGAAAAAATGTACTGAACTTGGTGCTAGATGGACTGAGTTGAAGGACGCTGCCAGTCTCCGAAGACTCCGCTTGCAGGATGCTCTCGAATCGCACCAGGTATTTTTCCACTGCAATTCTTTTTCTCTGTATTTTGATTCTATGCTCACGATAAAAATCAGAGTTTGATTGAGAAAGAAGTGTCCCAAGTTAATGCCCAGAACCTACAAAATGCATTTTATGTGCGCACAGTTCTTCGAGGATGCTGAAGAAGTGGAGGCATGGATCGCGGAAAAGAAACGCCTAGTCGACTCAACGGACGCTGGTAAGGATGAGGACTCTGTTCAGCTTCTGCAAAAGAAGCTCGATTCCCTGTCGCACGATATCGACAACCTGAAAGCGCCGATTGGTCGATTGTCCAAGCATTGCGAAACCATGGAGAGTCGGAACCATTTTGACGCGGCACGCGTGCGCAAACAGCAGAAGAAGCTCGAGGATTCCTACGCCCGTCTTAGCTCAAAACTGGAAGAAAAACTGCGACGCTTGGAGGAAAGTGCGAAGCTTTACAAGTTCCTGCGTGAAGCGGAAGAAGTGAGCACGTGGATCAACGACGAGATGAGCGTGGCTGCATCTGAGGACTATGGCGTGGACGTGGAGCATGTCCAAGTGCTGATAGATAAGTTCCAAATTTTCCGCGCCGCTCTGAATGCCGGCGAGGAGCGGGTGCTTATGGCGAAAGCCACGGGCGAACAATTGATAGAAGACAGACACAATGAAAACGAAACCATTCGAGCAAAAATTAAGGATGTAACTCAGCTGTGGGAGGACCTGAACGAGCTTGCGCAAGCTCGCCAAGACGTGAGTTTCTATAACTGTTCATTTTTATGTTCTGAAAGTTCCTGCTAAAACGCATATTTTTAACTATTTTTTTGTTTTGTCGATATTTATCGCTTATTCATAAAGTAATATATGAGATGAATTAAATTTTCTTCTGCATGGTACGTAATGATGCGCACTCTCGAGGGAGTTCATTTGTTTAATTGCTTTTGCGCGTCTGAGGCCGAAGCATCGATATGAGCTTACGCATGTTTCCACTTTTTCAATCTTTCACTGGACTACTTCCGAGTCTGCTAAGGATATCCTGTTTATTTTTATGTTTCCATAATTACGTTAATATTTGAAAATAATTGAGCGTGAGCTTCGAAGACATCGATATCGTTCTATGATTACAAGTGACGCGCTTATTAGTGTTCGAACGCTAATTATCCCCGCGTCTTCGTCCTTAGGTAATCAAACACAGTACAGTAATCCTCTCCTATAGTCGTACATAGAATATTTATTCTGCTGATCAAAAACTTTGAACATGGTGCCGCCATTCTTTAAAATGTCGAAGTGCATTAAACGAGCTTGTCAACTCAGTATTTGTGTCACAGACGCTCAGAAATATAAAAAATGTATTAAATGATGAAAAATGTAATGATTTATCTCAGTTGAATGAGCCACAATAATTCTAGATTTTGCATCGCTGATATTTTGAATGCTTTCTGATACCGCACTCGTCATGGTGATCTTGCGATCCAAAAGGAAAAAACAGCACTATGAAACGTCTCACATTGTATTCATGTTGGCAGATTCTTCGCCTTCCATAAATATATCAAAATTTGGGCTCATCAGTAGACCGAATACATGCCGCTTCGATGCAAGTATAATCCAAGTTCTGCTGGATTTGTGCTTCGAATGCCTCCCATTTGGTATTTTCTTCCACAGAACACTTTGTTCACGGATGTTGACTATGAATATTTTCTCGGCTCCCTTGTTTTTACCTTTCTTTTGAGAACGCAGCGCCTCAAAAGCTTTTATATCTTGATTCAACAGGCGCTTTTGGGGGCAAAGCAAGTGCACGCATTTGACCGCTCTGCTGACGAAACGATTGAGTGGATTCAGGAGAAAGACGCCGTCATTTCGTCAGAAACGTATGGAAATGACTTGGAAAGCATACAGGCGTTAATGCGGAAGCATCACGGGTTCGAACGCGATTTAGCAGCTGTGAAAGAACAGGTCAGCTTGAGAGCAATGAAAAAGGGGTCCGGATTTGCATATGCTTTCTGCACCAGTTGACAAGGCTTCCGATCTTCCTTTTTTCCATTGCCCGCTTGTCGATGTTGAGCTCGATCGAATTATTCAATTTTTATCAAATCGGATCGCGCTGTTCAACAGTAATTTAGTTGTGAATCGAATATGTTCTCCGCCACTCCGTCAGCAGCCGTGGAAAAGCTGTTTTTCCTACTGGACTATTATTCATACGTCTCATGATTTTCCGGTTTTTTTCTCCTAATTACATAGGTGGAAGCTGTGGATCAGGAGGCTCATCAGCTGGCTGCTCAGTTCCCAGATGCTCGGGAGCACATTAGCGTGAAGCATGAGGAAACCGTCGAAGCATGGAACAATTTGCTCGAGAAATCTGCTCAGCGCAAAGACAAACTCCAGCAGGCGGAAGAACTGCAAGCATACTTCGACGAATATCGTGATTTAATGTACGTGAAATGCGCATAATCTTATTTCATAGCTCTTGTGTGTGATTCCCAACGTTCGCATCTACAGGGCGTGGGTGAACGAAATGATTGCCAAAGTCACAGCACCAGAACTGGCCAAAGATTTGAAAGCTGCCGAGGTCCTTGTCACGCGACATGAAGAAATGAAGGCGGAGATGGACGCGCGGAGTGATGCTTTGTCGAAGTTCAGCGAAGCCGGGGAGAAAATCATTCGCTCAGTGAGTGCTGCATCGCAACATTTTGCTTCCCTCCATTATGGAACTCATGCTACAACCGTTTGCTTGACGATCCCAGTTCACGTCGATGGAATTCTAAAGATCACACTCAGAATCTAAACGTCCTGAAAAATGCCTATACCTCTTTCTATATTTGAAAAAGTTAATTTATGTAACGCTGAAGCACCAATTAGTATAAACGGTGTCCGATTTACGTTCGCTGTCCACATTTTCACTTTTTCGTAATGTATTTTATTTAAAGGTAGGGGATCTTTACCTGATCAGTTCATAAATTTTTTGCATTATTTTCTTCCCTCGACATTTTATTTCTTTGAAAATAAATACTATAAATAAATCGGCCACCACGGTATTCATTACCATTTCATCCACCGTTTTTTACACAGTTTTCATGTGCTCTAATCTCGCAAAGCAACCGAGGGGCTCAAAAATTAATATGAACCTTTCAGAAATCATGAATGGTTTTTAGTTGCTTTTCATTTTCAGATGGGCTAATAGAAAGATTAAAGGATTATATAATAAAAGGTTTCAAATCGAGATCTACTGAATGTTAAGTTTCACTCTTCGGTCAATAGAACTGAGAAATGGGTTGATATCGATGGAGAATATGTTGGTAGAGCATATAAATAAAATTAACGGCATAAAATATTTTTTCATAACTTGGGAACATTTTTTCAACTGTTCGCAGAAGTCATGAC